TTTATAAAGGATTTGTTGGATTGTCACTAAAACTAAAATGTGAGGTTCATAAAATAAAGCTTGCGAGAATTAAAGCGAGATAAAATACGAGTAAAGACAACTAGGGAAGTGAATCTGCCTCCATCCCTCTACACATGCTAGATATAGAACTAATTTAGGGGATAAACAATATATAATGGTCAAGAATTATATAGCGACACATAGTTGCCATATAATTAACGAGAAGTACATTAAGCCTTAAACAAGCATAATCCACCAAAGGTGAATGTGTTTAAACTACTTAAACTAGGATGCAACTTAAACACACTTACTTGGATGAAAGATTATCAAGTTCTTGACAAAAATGATGAAGCACATGAAGGTAGAGATTAAGCATACACCATCAAAGGATTTTCCTAAGTAATGATCTATCAAAGTCACCTATCAACATGCCATTAAACCATTACATAACCTTATTTCCATTGTCACCATGAAAACATAAGCAGTATAATTAATGTAAGACATTACCTAGAACAAGATAATCAACTTAGAAAAATCATTCATATAAATATCAACATCCATTACAACCATTGAAGTGCTCTTGGTCAAGAAAAGACCATAGAAAATACATTGTAATCCCCAAAATAGAACTATACTAGAACATGCTTACAAGGGGGAGGGGCTTCATCACCTCCCTAGAGGAAGAATTAGTACCCATGGATGCCCGAGAGGAAGGAAGAAGCTTACCTCCAACCTCCATTTTCAAGCTCCCTCTTTGTAGCCATAAGAACTTTATCCTTTTCTCCTTTCTCTCTCCAAAAATCTTGCAAAATGATCTATGATATCTAATCTCTTGGTTCTCCTCTCTTTTTATAGACATCCTCTCACCAAACCCCTCAAAAACCGAGCTTCATCTCCCCCCAAAAGAATATTTCCAACCACTCTATAAAAGAGGGGAACCAAAAATTGAGGGAATCAAAGAACAAGTGGGCTGCAATGTTCCTTCAAGCGCTCGAAGATGCTCGAAGTGATTCTGCCCGAATTTCGAGTGCTCGAAGGTCCTTCTTCGAGCGCTCGAAGATGCAACATATTGCATTCTTCTACTTGTTCTGCTCTAAGCTACTTTGGTAAAAAAACCATAACTCCCTATTCCGAATTCTAAATGACAAACCGTTTAATGATTTGGAAAGCTAACTCAAATCTATAAGTACGTCATGTTTTGATGGAAGTCCTGTTCTCAAGTTTGGTGGGTCTAAAATGAAGAGCAAAGTCAAACTTCACTGCTGCCAGGCTGTTCTGCGCACCTTTGGTTAAAAGGCCATAACTCTCTGCTTCAAACTCCAAATGAAGAACTGTTTAATGATTTGGAAAGCTAATTCAAAGCTCTAAGTATTCCATGTTTTAATAGAAGTCCAATTCCCAAGTTTATTAGGTCAAAACTGACGAACAAAGCCGTACTCCACTGCTACCAGGCTGTAAACTTCAGCATTGCACACTTTGATATTCAAGAAGTCATCAAAATATCATTTTTATTCCTTTTTGGGAAACAAACTTGAAAATATATAAAAACATGCAAATGAAGATAATCCACATAAAATAATCAAATAATGGACTTAACTAAAGTAACTAAGGGCGCTTGAATATGCAATATTCGGGGCTTATCACCTCCGGACCTTTGATAACATTGCCTAAATGCTTCGTACCATTTTGCATAATATACCATATACAAAGATGGTGATGTGTCTCGAGCATCACCAGTACTAATACTTTTGTAATAATTGCATATTGGTCATTTATAATTGTCTTCGAAAATTTGTGAGACATTGCCTTCAAAAATGTCTCAAACAACCACACAAATGAATCCGTTGTCTCTTCATACATCAAAGCACCTTCAAATATAACTATTTCTCTGTGATGATTTAGACCAAAAAAAGCGGCAAATGGTCGATTCACATTATTCACCTTGTATGTTGTGTCGTCAAAGCACCTCCAAATATAACTATTTCTTTGTGATGATTCAGACCAACAAAAGCGGCAAATAGTCGATTCACATTATTCACCTTGTATGTTGTGTCGAACGGCACAATATCTCCAAAATGACAATAGTCAATAATCATCCTTGCATCAACCCAAAATATATTAGTTATCAAGTCATCTTTGTCCAACTAAATCGTATGAAAAAATGAGGGATTTTCTAATATCTGGGATTGAAAAAACTTAAATATGGATCCAGCCTCTCCAAATTGTAATTTCTTTTGTTTATTGGTTCTCAAATAATTTTTTTGGTCTACTTTTATAAACCCAAGCACTTCTTTTGCCCCGGATTGTCGTCCCATTAGTTAATATGAAAAACTAACTGGTAGTCCAGAATCATCTGCCAACTTGATATCAATTGCTTGAGGTACAGAGATGTTTCGTTGTGAAGGCATCAAATGAGTGCAATCTTTTCTAATAATTTTATGGTTGTGCTTCTCTTCTAATCTATCTACGAAAATATATTCATTCCTCCCTTTCAAATTTTATATGCTTGAATACACCACATCTGACCCTTGTTTCTGCCCTGGCTTCTTTTGTAAGATGGTCCCTTTTGCCATTTCCTCTATAAGCCTCCTTGGAACATACAGATTGGGCAGAAATAATTTCTCAAGTTTTATAGTTTTTATTGGAATAATCCTTTCTCACACTAAATCCAACTTCACGTCCGCATGCATTGTAAAAGTCTTATGCATTTTCAACGGACTTGAACATCAATCGAAATTTGGGTTTATGGCCTAGTTCACCTAATGGACTATCCATTTAAAACCACCACCTATAAGAAGATAACAAAGTGTCTTAGAAAATGCAATTTCTCAAAAAAAATTTACTATTGTAAATATTTATAGTAGTAACCAATAACTTATATATGCTTTTTCAGTTATGCAAGTGATATTCAAGTTCAAGCTCAATATCTTAGCAAAAAAAGCTCATATCATGATACCATTATGCCTAAGGAATACAATAATTATTCTTATGAAAAATTAGTAGATAATGTCAGCCATTTGAACAAAGGGCTATGTATTACCCAAAATAAAATTATGTCTACTTATATGAAATTGCCAACTTAAACACATCACAAACAATCTCAAAACAAAATCTGCGCAACAATTACTTAAAATTCGTAGAAAATTCATTTTAAATCAAAATAGAGCAAACAAAAATGATTTCAATCAGTGAACCACTCCGAGAAGTTTGATCTTAGCCAATGAAATCAGTTTCTTAAAGGAAAAACAGTAGTCAAAGAAAGAACTGAAAATAGAGCTTTTGGCAAAGTTTGTTCATTGAAAAATATAGGTAGCTGAGAACATTTCAAACTTTGGTTTTTTAGTACAAAGTAAAACAATTTTCATTCCCTTATTTCTGATCATTAATTCGCAATCCAAATAGATCCCCCTTGAAAACAACCCAAAAAATGTAGAGCAAAAAATAAATATAATAAGATAGCAATCCATCAAAGGAGATTCATAGTTAAACCATGTCATCTTATTCAACAAAAGAGGCATAATTTTCACAAAATTGTTTGTTAGGAAGAAAAAAAATAAATAAATAAATAAAGCACGGTCTTTTAGATTTGTGGAGCAAACCAAACTAAAGCATTGAACTTGAGGTTTGGTGATCGAGTTAGCTAGTCGTTTTTGGTTGAGACTAAAAGGGCGGCTGGATGACCATGCGAAGCAGTAAGACGGTGTTTGGCTCGATCATTTTGGTTGTTTTGCTTTGAAGCCCAAACGTATAGAGATATGGTGACAGATATGAGAACCACCCCAAATAAAACACTACATAGCAATTATAACCCAACCTTACCATTAGTCCCTGCATCATCTCCATCACTGATGTCTCACTCTAAAAATCTTTATTTCTTTCTCTAGTACTACCTCTTGTATTGTGAGATTTAATGGAGATATAAATCTGGAAAATTTGATAATTTTTCAATGTTAAAAAGTTCGTCAAACAAAAATTATTGAAATTCTGTTTTTCAGAAGCGATAAAAGACGGACGGTACTCTCGAATTTTAAGAAAAATATCTGCTGAAGCTCTTCTTATAGGAAAATAAAATATCATTCTCCGTTTGTTTACAAGTAAAGCAAAAAAGGGGAAAATTGCTTAGCCTAGAAATTTATTTCCTCGTTTTCAGGGAAATTTTTTATTTTTTTTCCTAAATGAAAGGAGTATATATATAAAACAAAATAGTACATAGTAGCATATGAGGACAAACCCTCATAAGGGAAACAAACCAAGTCCTAAAAAAATGACAAAAACAACCTAAGCTAAAAGCAACTGAAAATTACAAAATGTCCTGCAAATTAACTCTCAAAACATCAAGAACCTCCTCTAGTATACTATTAGCTAGCTCCTTAGCCTTTCTTTCTTGCTTATCATGTAAACGATTATTCCTTTCCCACCAAATGAAATACAATATTGTAGTAAACATAACTCTAGCCATCTTTTTAACATCCTTTCATTGCTGAAATTGGATAAACTGAGTTGCTAAATCGAAACCCCTCTGCAAATTCCAGACATATAATTCAGCCAAGAAATGCCATACTTTCTAAGTATAATCACAGTTATAAAACAAATGGTCTACAGTTTCAACATCTCTATAGCAAAGATATCATCGTGATGCTAGAATAAAACCTCTTTTCTGCAAAAAGGTCTGAGTTTTAATTGTTTTATGCATAACCAAAACAGAATGAAGTGACCACCTTGGCCTCCCTCCACTCCAACATAAACCAGCCCAAGCGACAACATCCATTTTCACTCTAGCAGCTTCCCATGCGACCTTGAAACAAAAAGGTTGAATCCATTTAATCTGATCCACCCCACCTGTAATTATCTAATTTTTAAACAGCAACAACATCTCTTGTGTTGAGTTACTTAGTTTATCATCATCCCAGTGACCATTTGTAATGAAATCACACATACTAATCTTCTTATCACGACTCAGGTACCCAAGATTCCTATGGTTAAAGAGTTCTCTCAAGAACCTGCCTTCACACCAAGGATCCATAAAAACTTTAATATTCTGCCCAGTTCCAATAATGTATCTGCAATTGACCTTCAGAATCTCTCTAACAACAATAATACTCCTCCAGACAGCTGAAGAAGCAACTTTAGGAATCACATTCCAGTAAGAAGCCTTTTTCAAATAGCAATTTGAAAACCATGCCACCCATAGCCTGTCCTTAAACAATAAAAAGTCCTAAAAAAGACTGATCTTCTCAGCAGTATCAATATCTGCAATTCTTCTCAATCCTAAACCCCCTTCCTCATTGGGAGCAGTAATCTTCTTCCATTTTATGCCATGCATCTTTTTAGTATTTTCAACATGACCCCACACAAAGTTCCTCATTCTCCTTTCAATGCAACTAGAAACAGCAATAGGAAGAGCATAAACTGATGTCCAGTACTGAACCATTGGGATAATAACAGCTCTATTAAGTTCCACCCTACCTGCTAAAGATAAATGAAGACCATTCCATCTTGAAGTAATGGAAATAATTTTATCTACCAGACTTAAACAATCAGCTCTCCTCAGCATTTTATCATAAATAGGTAAGCCTAAATAAGTGAAAGGTAAGTTTCCTAACTTACAACCCAAGGACCTAATAATGGACTTCATTATTCTAACTGATCTAGTAAGATAAACTTCATATTTATCTTTGTTTACAGCTAGACCAGTAGTATTTTGGAATTAAGTCAATAAATTTTTCACAGTTAAGACACTTCCCATATTTGCTCTGATCACAAGTAACAGGTCGTTTGCAAAAAATTGATGAGTAATAGGTAAACTAGCCTGTAACGCAGCTCGAAAAGGCACCACCTTACCTTTCTGAACCTCCAAGTCCATCATACCAAAAAAATAATCAGTAACCAATGTGAATAGAAGGGAAGACAGAGGACACCCATGCCTAAGACCCCTCTCTGGTTGAAAGAAACCTTGTGGAGTACCATTGATGAGAATTGAGAACCACACTGAAGAAATACACTCTGTAATCCACTTTATCCACTGATCCCCAAATCCAACTAACTTTAATAATTTCAGCAAAAAGGTCCACTGCATTGAATCATAAGCCTTTCTCAGATCAATTTTCCAAGCCAGTGTTAGACTAGTCCTCTTAGCCCCAAACCCCTTCATGAGCTCATTAGCAATGATGATGTTATCTTGAATTCTTCTGTCATGTATGAAGGTTGATTGTTCATTACCTACTAATCTCCCTAAAACCATAGCTAGACGATTAGCTAAAATTTTAGCCACCACTTTATAAAACACAGTATCAAAGAAATAAGTCTGTAGTCAGTCACCTGATTAGCATCTTTCTTCTTTTGGATCAGAGTAATAAAAGAGATGTTTGAGCCTTTACCAAGGACAGGATTTTTAAAAAACTGAATATTGCTGCAGTAAAATCCTCCCCAACAATTGACCAATATTGTTGAAAGAATCTAGCTGAAAATCCATCTGGACCAGGAGCTATATCAAATCCCATCGCAAAGATTGTATCTTTCACCTCCTCCTTTATAACTTCAGCCTCTAACATAAACACCTCTTCCTCCTATAAAGATTTTTTAATATACTTTTGATCAGGTTCAATTAAGCTATCACAGCCCCTTGAATAAGCCTTTTGAAAATGAGCCACAAACAAGTTACTAATCATATCTGGATCAGTAATCAAAACCCCATCCTGATGTATAACTGTCAATTTACTTTTTGCTCTATTATATTTAATCTTTTGGTAGAAAAACTTAGAACATCTATCTTGTTCTTTCACCCAAGTAACCCTTGATTTTTGAGCTAAAAGAATAGATTCATTTGAAACTGCAGCCTCCAGATTAGACCTACACTCATCCTCCTTCCTGATCAGCTCATCATTTGTAAGATCAGCAGCCAATAAAACTTGTAACTTTTCTAATTTGTTTCTACAGGAAATAACTTCTTCATAGATTGAACCAAATTTGTCAATATTCCACTGTCTCACATCCTTCTTACAAAGTTTCAATTTGTATAACAATTTTGAAATTGAATCCCCCTTGAACTGAGCACCCTAGGAATCAGCAACAATATCTTTAACCACAGGTTGTTTGTCCCATACCAATAAGAATCTAAAAGGTCTAGGACTAGAAGCAATCTCAACAGGCAAATTGAAAAATAAACCCCAATGATCTGAAGTTAATGGAGGAGTCAGAAACACAAAGGAATCTGGATAAACCAAAGCCCACTCCTCATTCATCAAACCTCTATCTAAATTAGCATTTATTCTCCTACTACAAAACCTTTTATTACACCAAGTGTAAACACCATTGGCCACATGCATATCAGATAAACACAACTTATCAATTGTATTATTAAAATCTGCAAAAACCCTTGGAGAGTGAATTCTTCCACCCTTTTTCTCACTATTAAACCTAACAATATTCCAATCACCCAATAACAACCATGGACCATCAATCACTTGATTAACATCTTCTAAATCCCTCCATAACTGACCTCTTTCCATAGCAGTGTTTTTAGCATAAACAATAGTGACAAAAAAAGTGATAGCAGTACCTCTAACATTCACTTTCAGATTAATCAGTTGATCCTTAGATACAATAACATCCACCCCAATCTTCAAAGAATCCCAACCACACCATATACGGCCACCTATAATAGCATTATAGTTATTAACCCACTCCCAGTTATACCTGATCCGATTCTTAATATTTTGAAACTTTGAGAAGTTTACTCTAGTTTCTACCAAACCACAAAAAAAAATTGAGGAGCCACTCAACCAAGCCATAACTTTTTTATGCATTATTTGCCTATTGAGTCCCCTATCATTGAGAAACCAAACTTGGTGGAATAGCCCCACCTGCTAACATTCCTCTACTGATTCTCACACTATGATCAACCTCAACCTCTTTCTTTTTATTCTTCTTTTTCTGTTTCTTAGAAGAAGTTCCCCTCCAGGAGAAAGTGAATCCACTTCTTTACAAACTTCCTGACTTGTTTCCTCTTGGGTCTCCTTGACAATTTCCTGAGAATAAACTACATTTTCCAATAACTCCAATTGAATAGGAGAAGAATTAGAGTCCTCTTCATCATTCTTCTTTTCATCAATAACTATAACCCCAGTCTTTACAACCTCCTCTCTAATAGGAATTTCATCAAGCACCTGAAAAGCATTAGGAGATATTATCATGGTCTAGGATACTGGTTGCCCGACCTTCAACTTTCCTTTAAATTTTTTCTGAACTGTAAAACCCTCCAAGTCTTCATTCCCATCCTTTGGCACAACTTCATCTTGAATACTAACCAAATCCCCTATTTCCTGGTCTTTGATCTTTGGCTTTACCACCCACTTCTCCTTTGGTTTGAGAGGTTTAGATTTATTCATAGGACACATAGCGTCGAGGTGATCCATTTTCTTACAAAACGTACATACTTGAGGCTTCCATTCATATTCAACCTTTACTTTACACTGCAGCCCATGTAATCTGGTTTGTATGATTTCTAGAAAAACACCATCCACCTCCATCTCAGCCAAAACATGAACGTACAAACCTTTATCACGACTTTCAATCACATCATCCATATACAATGGTTTAGCTATATTAGATACAATCTTTGATATAGATGTCCCACTACGTGTATGGACGGGCAGGTCACAAACCTTCATCCATATTGGTACCATAGCCAATATATCCCTTTCTAGTTGGATGCTCTTATGCCATTTCTTCACAATAATCGCACGTCCTTGGAAGGTATGAAACCGAGATAACACTTGAAGTAAATCCTCCTCAGAGGGAAAACGAACCTCAAAGAAACCATCATTCATAGACATTACCACCACATCCTTATGCCATCATTTTTGCACATATGATTTGAAATAAGGATAGTACGGTTTGCTCCCAAGCACATAACATACAACAGAGTTTTTCTAATATTTCAGTTCTTCTGTAATATCTTCATCTTCAATAATAATATCTTTACCTCGGCTCTCACTATAATACGTGAGAGGTGTACGATTAATAGAAGTTACTGCAGGTGGAATAATACCCGCCAGTGAGGAGGGTTGCCCCTCCTCCATCATACAACCTTCTTCCCCAGGCTAAACCTAAGAAACCCTAGAAAACCCTAATCGTCCAGTGTGCTTGAGTTCTGGGTATTCTTTATTTATGATTTCTAGACTGAGGATTGCTTGTTATTTTTCTTCTGAAGACCTTTTGAAGCCATGATTGGGGAATTTAAGTTGGTGCTTGGAATGTGAAGTCCGTGAGTGTTTCAATTGAATTTTTATTCAAATGGGCGGAAGAAAGAAAACAAATTTTAATGTGAATGATGTTATAGATTTTCTGAACCATTCAATGGAGGAAAAACCTCGTCTTTCTTTTGTAATTCCCTTCATATTAGTTTTTTGGGTTGTTGAGAAATGGGTTTTTTCCCTCTCTAATTGGGTTCCACTTTTCATTGCCATCTGGGCAACTAATTCATTTGTGATTTCCAGGAAGAAAAGAAAGGAAAAAAAATATGCAATTCCATACGTCTATTATGTGCATGTATATGTTGTATCTATATATATATATATATATAAACTGGGCTTGGGGGTACTTAATCTACTGACGTTTCAAGGGAACATAGGTGCGATTTGTTTGGTTATATATGAACAGTAAAAACCATGTGCAATTTGTTTGTTCGATACCTCTCTTTATAGCACTATCCTACACGGAATCGTACTATTGCGAATGGTAAAATAAGACACATCAGAGGATACCTTGTTGGTCGATGTGACTAAGGTACTCCGCATGGTCCACATTACTGTCCTCATTAATGTTCTGCATTGATGAAATGGAGTGATGAAAGCTACCCCTTCCCCTAGGATTACGAACAACGGATTCAAGATTCAAATTAAGTGGGGCAAGAATAGGATTCAATGATTTACGAGCATGCATGCACTATCAAAACAAACAACAAATCATAACAAGTATATAGCAAGCACTTCTCCTCCTCAACAAATCAATCAACAATCCTCCACATACAATGATCCCATACTCCTATGCTTTAAACAATATGCAAGAAAAGTAAATTGCCTCTATATGGGCTCACGATTTATCTAAGAAATTAAAGACTTGCCTTTACGCTGGCTCACGATTTAACTAGAGAAAGAGTTAGAAAAGCTTACAAAGGGTCCTTAAGCAACTTCAATTTTTTCTTTGCCTTACTTTGCTCTGCAATTTTTTTTATTTTTAGCTTGTTATGCTTTTACTTAGCTTTGCTTGGCTTGCTTCTTTGCTTTTGAATTCCCCTTTTGCTTCACTTCCTTGGCTTAATTCACCTAGCCAATCAAGAACAAACACAACAAGTAACCAAAATAAAATAAAAATAAAAACAAGATCAAAAGAGTATTAATGCTTAATTGATTTCCAAAATACGACGGTGCCAAATCCCCGGCAATGGTGCCAAAACTTGGTGTGGTCAATACCGAAGCATGCAAAAGTGTGTAGTGTGGCCAAGTTTAAATTTAGAGATTGCCACTACCACTTCTAACTATAAATATAGCTAGGGTGAGTAGGGATCATCTCAAAGGAAATGGAGTATATTTAGCTTGGAAATTAATGTCGGATTAGTAGGTTGAGTGATCAAAGATGTTTTGATTGGTTAATTAAACTATAATGTAAACTAAATAGATGTAAAGTAAAGCAATTGAGGTAAAATGAAATGTAGATAATATAAGAGAGGGGTTTTGGGATTTAGAGTTCACCACTAAGCATTACCTTCGTAGACATTCAATGTCTGATGGATTAGGGGGATTATATGTTGCAATAAGAGTGTATGTCATTAATTGAATCAATAAGCATGGATGGCCAATTAAGCATACATTGTCTAACCAAACTAGTGAATAGCACAACATATCAAATCAAGCCATTATTCCTTCCCTTAAGTCCATAATTAATGCACATCATCACATTATAGATATATACTACTTGCATTCATAAGTATGGAACATCAAAAAACAAGCATGGATTGTCCACCTATCTAAGAAAATAAGGCAACTACACTACAACTAAACTAGTGACATGAAATTAAAGTAGCTAAACTAAGGGTGTGGCACAATCCATCAAGAAATAAGTATGAACCATAAAATAAATCACAAGAGTAATCTATTTAAGCACTATGTCTTGACCATCACTAGATTCATAATATCAACACACATAGACATGCATCAATGTCACAAAATCTAGAAGTAAACACATGAACATTCATCCTGGCATACATAAACATATGGATAGAATTAAATGATCAATTGGAAGTATTAAACCACATAAATCATTGTAAAACAAAGATTCATATATAAAAGATGTCAAGGCAATAATTATAATACAAGTCCCTTTTAATTACAAATCATCAAAGTCTAGGAGGCATGCTTAGGGCTATCTCTAGTCCCAAGAGAATGGTTTAGCCACTCATTGATGTAGTCATCCAACCCTCAAGGGCTATCTCCATGGTAGAAATGGTCTCCTTCCTCTTGATAGAAACCCTAGATGAGTAAAAGAACTCTCCCAAATGGTGTGTATCTCTCCCTCTTGATATCTAAACTCCTTCCAACTTCTTTATTGTATATGGTTCCCTTCTAAAGTATATGACTGTAAAAATGGCCAAAATCCTGATATAGGTAGCTCAAATGTCACACCCTATGGTCACACCTCGTGCACTGGGACCTCCAAATGATTGCACCATGACCACACCTTTTAATTCGCTGGAACTTTGTTTTTCTCACACTTAAGGAGGTTCAATTGATCACAAGGGTGGTTCGGACGATCGAACTATGGCGGCGCCTTTTTGGAATAATGACAAAGCTGAGATATTTTTGGGAGAAGGACAAAAGTGGTAGGTGAGGATAAGATCAAAAATATTCGATCGATCAAAGGAATGTTGGATCGATCGAAGATGGAAATTTCTTAAGGATAAGGACAATAGGCTCGATCCATTATGGCATGGTTGGAATGATCATTATGTGATCGATCGGAGCTTGGTTCGATCGATCGAAGAATGCTATTTTTCACCACTTTGCTTCCATCTTGCTCCTTTCTTCCACTAAGCTTGAGATTGTATCTTTTATGCTTTAATTCAGCTGAATTAACTTATTTTGGGGATAAGTGCTTAAAAAGAGAAATAGTTTGAAATTAGACTAAAACGGGAAAAAAAAAAAAAAAAAAGATAGAATAAGGTCCTAGAACGTTCAAGCTTTTAAATGCGCACTTTTCAGCGCTTATCACACCCCCAAACTTAAATATTGCTAGTCCCTAGTAATGAACTACAAAGGAAATAAAGAAATAAATAACTATACAACTATGAACTATGAAGTAATAAATGGATAACGCCACTTTTGTAGGAACACGATTGCATTTAGCACATGCAACAAGCCTTTTAAACCCCTAGGTTACCCCTAGTGGACGAGTGAAGTCTCATGAGGGTTTCTAGAAATGATACCCACAAACATTAAACTCATTCTCACAAAAGAGACACCAATATTCCAAACAAGCATTGGGAGAAAACTACCTCAAGTATGCAATTTTTCAATCATTTCTAAGTAATATCCCAAAATCTTAACATCAAGATAATGATCATGTAAATCAAAACAACTCTATAATCCTATTTAAATGAACCAGCATCAAATATGTTGTTATCTAAGCCAACTAAAGAAATGATTACATCCTTACCCTCAAACTAGCACACAAATCTAGTACTGATCATCAAGACAAACAGTGGACCTTTTATTAAAACTTCATTGATCTAGGTGTGCTTATTCTTTTCACTCAGATTTTTTTTTTTTTTTTTTTTTTTCTATCCCTAAGGATCAAAGATGGAAGCATAGTGCAATGTCTTAATCTATTAAGCTTTCTAGTGATCCATGAGGTTTAGCGTTAGGTCAATGACTACCGAACCGGATGGCTTTAGGGCATTAAGTGTTTAAACACCCCTAAGGACTTACAAGCTCAAATCAACTAGGTTACAAATCTAAACAACCTCCATCTAATCATATCCCACTTCTCACCTTTTTGGAGAAGTCCTCACTTTTTTTTTTTTTTAATTTGCTTTTGCAACTTCTTCTTCTTTTTTTTTTTTTTTTTTTTTTTTTTTTTTTTTTTTTGTATTATTATCAAGTTTTTAACCTAAAGTTTGGGCCCTCCACCTTTCGGCGCGAGAAATTCAGTGTTTGATGAAGCTAGAATCCCGATTACTCAGTGAAAAGGGGTTGTTATCCACCTTTATCAAGAATGAAAGCTTTCAATGCACTACTAGCTCAATTAGGATATAACCAAATCAATAATCAACAAAGCAAGTACCCCACAAATAAATGCTAGTGCAGAATCCTAGAGTGAATCTCAAAACAATCACAAAATCAAGATGATGTAGACCACAAAAGCGAGTAAGATATCAATCTTTTGAAAAATTAACTCCTAAATGACATCCACAAGGCATACAAGGAGTATTGGACTCTCAAGTCAAGCAAATTTTAAATTTTAAGCAATATAGTCCTCAAAAGATCAAAATTATAGCTAGTCATGGACCAATCATAGAAAAATCCCTTAAATACACAAGTGATGCTCAAAATCTTGAATTAAATGCAAATAACACACATTACCCCCAAACTTAAATGGCACAGTGTCCTCAATGTGCAAAGAGAATAGCAGAGAGGATAGGGTATACCAGCGCAGCTATAGCAAAGAATGGCCGGAGCACAAGTATCCGAAGTGGGTGGTATAACCTCCCTAAACTTGGGATTAAATGTGGCCCTGAAAAGATGTCACCAGGATAAAACCTCATCAGATAATAAAGGGG